CATTCCCAAAAATTGCATTTTTTCAGAAAAAATCAACTTTAGACTCCGTTTCCATGGTAACTACTCAACATTCATATGATCTAACAATATTTTTTGGAGTAGTTTATGAGGTGGTAAATTCTAGCCAAATTTGAAAAAAATCTGTGACTATGCGTGCCACAAAAGTTTAAGTGGTTACAGAGAATGGCTATTAATATCTTTTTCTGCCAGTGACTTTGAACTTGCCGAAATGACCTTGAGTTAAGATCAGCACACTCGCTCGGATCATAAGCAATCTCTGTATTAAGTATGAGCTTCCAGTGAATCTCCGTTTTTTGGTTATTGCCCAAATAAGTTTTTCTTATCTTCTCTTATCTTCATCTTGCCTGAATGACCTTGAGACAATATCACGACAAACCTGGCGCCATGTGCAATCGTAGTATAAGTATGAGCTTCCAGTGATTCCCCATTACAAAGTTAAAGTTATAGCCCGGACAAAAATTTTTATACTTTTTTTTTCTGCCGGTGACCTTGGAATTGCTAAAATGACCTTGGGTCAAGGTCAAGACACAATAATGGTTAATAAACAATCCCTATACCAAGTACAAGTGTCCAGTGATTCCCCATTACAAAGTTGTGACACGGAAATTTTTTATACTTTTTGTGCAGTGACCTTGAACTTGTGGAGACGACCAAGGTTTTTAGGTCAATGTACATCCTTGGGTCATAAGCAATCTCTGTACCAAGTATGAGCTTCCAGTGTTTCTCAATAACACAGGTATACAGACAGACGGACAAGGTGATTCCTTTATCCCCAAAACGTCTTTGTCGGGAATACAGACAGACAAACAAGGTGATTCCTTTAGCCCCCCCCCCCCCCCCAACGTCGAATGTCGTGGGTATAATCATTTTGACAGAAGTAATTGTAGTTTGATTTGCACTTTGCCATCCCCCCCCCTTTCCTGAGAATAACTCATTTTACCACATCAGCTTGCTTTTATGTAATTTTGAAATAACTGCATAGCTTCCCGGATGAAAACCAGCTTTTTTAAATATTTTTTTTTTCTATATAGAGGAAAAACAAAACACTTCTGTAAAATATTTAGCTACAGAACTGTAGCTCTCTAGGAAAGAAATTTGGAGAGATATACCAGAGAACTACAAATATAATTCATCTGAAGAACCTCGCATCGACCTTTGAGAAATTTTACGAGATAGGATAATTTGTGTTTTGAGTCCTCTTCTATATAATGAAATAACATGAAATACATGTATAAGCATGTAAACTTAAACCACTACCACCCCACACCCTCTTTAAAACCAAAAGGTAAAAAAAGATGGGGGGTTGGGGGGTTGGCCTGTAAATCCAAGTCCAGCAGACGATTTAGTCGGCTGACCATATCTGGACATACTCTATGAAAGCTATGCAGACAGGACGTTAACATTACCAAATGACTCTCTTACTATATTTCAGGGCATAACTGAGCAAATCAAAACACAATATCAGGAAAAGAATCCCTTTCCTATATCACAAGAACTCGATTCTTCAATAGAATGCTTCAATATCATGTGTCTCATCAAGGAAATTTTCAGTTTCAAGTGCGCATAGAATGCTGTCGAATTCAAAAGGAAAGTGATCTCGTTCTATTATCTTTAATTTACATTACATGTAATACCACATAAGCTATGGCTAACTTTAGTAGATCATAGCTGACTATCCAGGACTGACTAAGATTTTATTTTTGTCAGGTGTGCTTTTAAAACTTGACACTTGCATCATCATCGTTCGAGTATTCTTTTATATAAGTAAAGATATCTTATATATAAATGTCTATTTATGTATAGATCTTCGAACAGTTTAAAAATTAAAATATTTAATTCTACTGATGGTTAATAATGTTCAAATCAATGTTTTGATAACTTAAGCTTATTGCAAGGTGCATAAGAACCATTTGCGCCTCTTTGAACACAGACTATGTAAAATACTGTATATGAAAAATTCAGATTCAGGAAAGGTGTATTAATAAATAAAGAAAGAAGTACTGTACATGTATGTATTTTCAGAATTCTTAAGTCTTATAACATGTAACTCGAACCAAGGAGAGATTTTGTTGGAACCTCTGTGGTATAATAATAAAATTATGACTCAAAATAAATATGTTTTTTCAAGGCCATTGTATTAAAAGGGATTTATTGTAGTTGGTGATTTATTTGACAGTAATGGTAACTTTATATGCTTTGATGATCTTGTTAAAGAATTTTCTTTAAAAGTCCCTTTTACTATATACGAAGGCATAAAAAGGGCAATTTTGCATTCTTAGCCAAATGTTAGAAATGTCGGTATAAATTCTGTCACAAGACCTTATCAGCCAAAATTCGTGGAAATCATCAATAAAGATAAACAAGAGGCCCATGGGCCACATAACTCACCTGAGCACATTGGATAGGTGAAAGCACAAATCAGTTCAGTATTGAAAAGATTACTGGGGAGGGGGGGGGGAGGCTTGAATTTTAAACTACCTGATGATGCTTCCATGTCAATATAACAAATGGCTTTGTTGTACTTGAGAAGATTAAAAAAAAAATTTCCCATATATTCCTTTGTAGAAATTTGATCCCCCATTGTGGCTCCTCCCTATCCCAGGGGTCATCATTTGAACAAACTTGAATCTAAACTACCTGAGGATGCTTCCATATCAATATGACTAAACATAGCTTTTCTGTTCTTGAGAAGAAATATTTTTTCTGTATGTTCTTATGTAAAACTTTGATCCCCCATTGGGCCCCACCCTACCCCCGGGGGTCATCATTTGAACAAAACTGAATTTACACTTCCTAAGGTTGCTTCCATATCAAAATGACAAATCATGGCTTTGCAGTTCTTTTTCAGAAGATATTTTCCTGTATACTTCTATTTAAGACTTTGATCCTCCATTGTGGCCTCCCCTACCCCAGGGGGTCATGATTTGAACAAACTTGAATCTACACTACCTGAGGATGCTTCCAAATAAATATGATCAATCATGGCTTTGCTGTTCCTGAGAAGAAGATTTTAAAAATTTTTCCTCTATATTTCTATGTAAAACTTTGATCCTCCATTGTGGCCCCCCCCCCTACCCCCCCCCACCCCCCCGGGTCATGATTTGAATGAGTTTGAATCTACTCTCCCTGAGGATGCTTCCATATAAATATGACCAATCAGGGCTTTGCTGTTCCTGAGAAGAGGATTTTTAAAGAATTTTCTTATATATATTTCTAAGTAAAACTTTGATCCTCCATTGTGGCCCCCCCCTACCCCCGGGGGGTCATGATTTAAACAAACTTGAATCTACACTACCTGAGGATGCTTCCATATAAACATGACTCATCATGGCTTTGCTGTTCTTGAGAAGAAGATTTTTAAAGGTTTTTCCTATATATTTCGATGTAAAACTTTGATACTCCATTGTGGCCCCACCCTACCCCCGGGGGTCATCATTTGAACAAACTTGAATCTACACTACCTGAGGATGCTTCCATATAAATATGACTCATCATGGCTTTGCTGTTCTTGAGAAGAAGATTTTTAAAGGTTTTTCCTATATATTTCTATGTAAAACTTTGATCCTCCATTGTGGCCCCACCCTACCCCCCGGGGTCATGATTTGAACAAACTTGAATCTAGACTACCTGAGGATGCTTCCATATAAATATGACTCATCATGGCTTTGCTGTTCTTGAGAAGAAGATTTTTGAAGGTTTTTCCTATATATTTCTATGTAAAACTTTGATCCTCCATTGTGGCCCCGCCCTACCCCCGGGGGTCATGATTTGAACAAACTTAAATCTACACTACCTGAGGATGCTTCCACATGAGTTTCATCTTTCCTGGCCCTATGGCTCTTGAGAAGAAGATTTTTAAATTATTCTATTAATTTTTCACTAATTCTTTATTATCTCCCCTTGAAAAAGGGTGTGGCCCTTCATTTGATCAGACTTGAATCCCCTTCACCCAAGGATACTTTGTGGCAAGTTTGGTTGAAATTGGCCCAGTGGTTCTTGAGAAGAAGTCAAAAATGTTAAAAGTTTACAGACAGACAGACGGACGGACAGACAGACAGACAGATGGACAGACAGACGGACAGACAGACGGACGCCGGACAAAAAGTGATCAGAAAAGCTCACTTGAGCCTTCGGCTCAGGTGAGCTAAAAAGGTTCTAAAACAATTTATGATACATATTTGTCATTACATGTATATACTTCACCAAAGTGTGAATCAAAATGGGCTAAAGAACTGCAGTTACAGCAGGATTTTAATTGGAAATTAATTCATAAAAAATATTATTCAATAACAAAAGACACAAGGCTTTTATGGTTTAATTTTAGTATCATACATAGGATTCTTGGTACAAGTATGTATTTGTTTTTGTCAAAAATGAGAGAAAATAATCTATGTTCTTTATGTCAGCAAAATGTTGAATCAATTGTACATATTTTCTTTTATTGTCCTAAAGTTAACCCATTGTGGTCTCTTTTAGAAGATTGGATATTTGAATAAACTGGAAAAATAATAAGATTTGATGTGTGCACAGTTATACTTGGTTCTTCTAAAGAAGACACAATTATTAATCTTATATTGCTACTTATTAAACAGTACATTTTTCAACAATCAAGAAAAAAACAAAATATAACTATCCAAAATATCATTAAATACTTATATGTGTATTATAAATTTGAAGAAAAATTGTATAAATTTAACAATGAACTTCATATGTATAAAAGAAGATGGACTAACTGGAACCAGATATTTGAAAACATAAACATATAGATAAATTTATGTCCTCTACATTATTATTTTAGTATATCTTGTGTATTCATAATTTTTTTATATTTCATGTTTATTCCTAAAAATCTGTATGTAAGCTTTCCAGCCATGGTGTGTCTGTGTTGTGTATGTGTATGTATGTTTGTTTATGTCTAAAGTCAATAAAAAAAATTAATAAATAAAGGATATGTTATCTTTTACAGAAATAATACTTACAACGTTGACTGATACTGTCATGAAACAACCTGTCAGACACGGTACAGTGTGTGATGATGTCTAGCTGTAGTTTGTCTATGAAGAGCTCGTACATCTCCTCCGGTCTGTACGGTACATACAGACATTTCTCTCCCTCACTCCTCTTGTACCACCAGGACCTGCAGTATTCTGATATCACGTCACGTGACGCCGTGGTCAGGAAAAACTCCAGATCACTGTCCTCCACCAGACACTCCGTGACAAAGGCGTACATGACGTCATGTCGGATATCGTCTGATATAAAGGTTATGACACCATTACGTGTTTTTGTGATTGCATTAGGAAGATCAACCAAGCTGTCATCAGTAATATCAGGGAAATATCTGTCTCTGATTTTGTCCCTTGTGATTCTGTGTGATTGTTCATTGAGATTCAGTTGATATTTCTCAGTTAACAAAAAGCAGTACAGTAGACATCTGACTTCCGGTGTATAGTTATGGTGTTTACCTGAAATTATGAAATTTATACATTAAAAAACATTAAAAGATTTAAAGTCATGCATAAGCAAATTATTATTTACCTTTCATTCCATATCATCATACAATATCTTTGTTTTTCAACTGAATATAAATGGTACTAGACTCAAGCTCTTGTCATTTGTACTAATAACTGAAGACAAAACTTATCAGTAGCGGATGATCCATGCGGATTAGAGGAAGGGGTATATAATCCTTCAACCCACCCAAACCCCAACCCGGATATAAGAATTCCCTGTAAAGTTGGTAGGGAAAGTTAATGGACGATCGATTTAAACTGAATTTTTGGTTTGATACTTTATATTCAAATTGTACGAATTATATGTATAAGGTATAATTACATGTATAAACCTAAGACGGTTTATCAAAATCTCAAACCGATACACGGAATGATTTGAATCCGTAATTAGACTACCTTCATTACCCTGACCTCTCCCCTCCTATCCCTCCACATAGAGAGAAAATGGAGGGTGCTTATCGTATAGTTTTTCTAGACCTTTAAATTATTATAATTTATAAATGACAGCAGATGAAATTGTCATTTGGAGAGTTTCATTTTATACAGCTTTGACTAAAAGTTCCGAGAAATTCTGTTTATTTTTTATCTTGAGTGTATTAGGCCAAAGAAAATAATAGTCTTGTTTCCTGCTACAAGCCTGAAAAAAAATAGGGTAGGTAGGTACGAAAATTATTTTTTTTTCGACTGCATGTTTAGATATGAACTAATATAAGATCTAATTAAACATGTCACAGGTCAATATTGTCTTTTACAATTATATTCATGTCTTTTGATGCATAAGTCAAGTGGTATTTTATGAAAGTCCATATTTAAAACAGAGAATTTCATGAAATGCTTGTTTTGAATTAACATGGAAACCGATTACAGTGACAGATCGATGAAATTCCGGGAATTCCCGATTTTTTTTTCTTCTAAAACTAAGACAAAAACTTTAGGGTCGGGCGCAAAAAAAGGGTCGGTCGGGTAGCAGAAAACAGGGCTTTTATTTATTTATTTATTTTTGGCCTTATACACCTATTTCCTGGCTATAAGGACAAAAGCACATTTCTTGTCTCCCAAGCCAGCAATTATTTCCCGAGGTGCCGCCGATAAACATGATAGTGTCCCAATAGTCAGTAAGTTGTTGTTTACCAAAGCCGACTTTATTTGACGTGGAAGGTCAGGATCCGGATAAAAGCAGTTGAGTTCCGAGATGAAAAGCGAGCTCGAAGGAAACGGAATGCTGCCGGTGACTAGTTTGATGACTATTTCACCATGGGCATATAGCACAAAAACTTTTTCATGATAGGGTTAGTAGGTTTATTTGTCATATTTTTATATAGTAACAAGAGATGTTTGTGAAACATTTATGTCCCCCTCCCCCAAATAATTGGAATTTTTCTAAGTCCAAGGGGCATAACTCTGCCCAAAATTGCTCATGGTACCCAAAACAGACTTGATCTAGATATTCCTATGATAAATCTGTATACAAAATTTTATTACAGTATATGCAACCTCTGTGAAGAAAATGAACGGAATCTGTTGGTGTACCGACAGACAGCAGCAAAGCAAACTCCCTTCTTCGAAAGAGGGCATAAAAATTTACAGTCTGAGGTATAATAAATTATTATAAGAACTGCATGGAGTTGAGGCTAACATATCAAATTGCATGTAGTTGAGGGTAACATTGAAAATATTCATCGGGATTCGCAGGAAAACCATTGTCAACGGAGGCACAGTTTTACGTAATAGTAATACATATTGGTTCTCAGTGATTCCAGAGAAGAAGCTGAAAATATTCAAATGTTAACACAAGACGACGGACGATGTTTGGCCATTTAAAATCACTCGGAACGCCTCGGCCGATTCGTACCTTAACGTGTTTAATATTTGATGAAGGTGACAGAATCATCAGAAGTCTGCCGAATGCTACATAATTTAGTGAAGAATGAGAAAATGTAACTTTACAGTACGATAAAAGTTCTAAAAATGTATAATGCTTTGTTCCTGTAAAGTTTCTAGGTATATTTTTAGAAGTCATTTTTACATTTTTACACAATCAAAATTTATAATTAAAAATTTCATTAAAAGAAATATTTAAAAAAAATATCGATGTAACTCTCCTGTAAGGGAGATAAGAAAGAATTTGTTTGTGGCATGTGCACGATCATTAAACTGCAGTCCTATCAATGAAATGAAAGACATTTTCCAAAACGTTCAAAAGCTAGAGTATGGGAATTTTTGTAGATTACATTTACAAAGATTTGTTCTTAAAGAAAAGAGGAAAAATTACCTTTGACAGATATTTCATTTATACTTTTTTGTCCCCTGCTTTCACTGAAAGTTGGGGATGTTAATTTCGGTCTGCCTGTCAGTCTGTCCGTCTTTCTGTAACACTTTAGTTTCCGCGCGATATCTCGAGAAGCTTTTGAACTTTTTCATGAAATTTTTCACAACTCCCTATGGTCTAAGGAAGCCCCCTATTGATTTAGAGGTCAAGAGGTCAAGGTCATAAATTCTGTCTGTTTTTTACACTTTCGTGTTAACGCGATATCTCGAGAATCCTTTGAGCTTTTGAAATGAAATTTTATACGACAATTCCTTATGGCCTAAAGAAGACCCCTATTTATTTTGAGGTCAAAGGTCAAGGTCGTTAATTCATACATTCTGTTTATGTGTAAAACTTACATTTTGGGCAATATCTCAAGAAGCTTTTGAGTTTATACAATTAAATTTCATACCATATCTCCCTATGGCTCCACCCGCCCTTCTTAAAGTGTCTGCCCCCCCCCCCCCCCTACATGTACATCTCCGCATGCTCTTCTTTTTTCCTTAAGCGGGGGACACAGATTTTCTGAATTGGCTAGTTTTCAATGAATTTGGATAGTGTTTCTAACAAATATTTTGTGAAGACAAAGCTTCATGTTATAAAGCATGTTTGAGTGCTAGGATGTCGTTGTCTTACTTTTCAACATTTTTTTTTAATTTTAGTAATTGTTTATATTTACATACTAAATACTGGTATTTTAATTTCTGTTTCACGATACGTATTTCAGAATCACATTCCGGTTTACGGAAATAATCGCTCATCCATAACCCCTTCTCCCCCCCCCCCCCCCTTTAGCAAAAAAAAAAATGAAACCCTGCATTGTAGCAACTGCTTATAATAAAACGCCGCTTAATAATAAAATATCATTTTTTGTCATAAATTATTGCATTAATAGTTGGCATTCTTGACCGCTAACGCTAAATCGCCTCTTAATGGTAGAATTGAGAATGTAAACTATTAATGCAACAATTCCTGATCGACATTAAGCGTTGCACTGCAATGCTTAATGATATTTCTATTATTTACATATTTTGTTATCTATAGCGGTTGCTACACCGCATGCAATTGCAATAAACCGTCCCAAATTTTATCTGGTAAGTTATATTACGTGCATGTGCACTTTAACATAAAAGCATTGCAATTATAGACAGGAACTCATTATCTATTTTTAAGTAGAGCTGCAGGCACGTATTATCAGGGGGGCAGGGATGCCTGCCCCACCCCCTTTTTTTCTACACATAACTTTTTTCTATTTAAAATGTACCTTGAAAGGCTGTCCCCCCTCTTTTTTTCGGTATAGACAAATAAGAGTAACGTAGTAATATATGAAAAAGATTGGGATTGAAAGAAGTTCGCCTATCCCCCCCCCCCCCCCGAATTAGAATCTTCGAGTTTGGACAGGGTTCGAGAATGAACAAATCTCCCCCCCCTTTTTTTTTTAGATAAGTTGATTTTTTTTTCTCTGCCCCCCCCCCCTTTAAAAAAACGATACTACGTCACTGTGCTGGGAGGACTAAAATGTTCAGGAGGAATTCCATATTCATGAAAAAAAACTTACTTCGGATGGTGGATATTTTGGGGAGTGGGGGGGGGGGGGGGCTCAGTGAACATATTTAAGCTTTTAGAGCTGTTCATTCTAAAAAAAAAACTTATTGTGACCAAGGTTGCATGATCAATACATCTAGGGATGTAGTCTACATTGAGCATAATAACGTACAGTTCCCCGTTTAGTGTACACTTTGTTTAATTATCAATGTCGGACAGTAAAAAATTATCCCTCACCATTCCCCACCGTAAGGAAAATAAAGCTGGTCAGTATTTTGCAGAATAAGGTTTAGTTTCATGTTTAGTGTGCACTTTTTTGTTTTTATTTATCGGAGTCGTAAAGCTAAAACTTATGTGCCCCACTACTTCCCGTTAATACTGTAAAAAACCTGAAGGAAAATGAATAAAACATTTCAATTATACTAATTTTCTTACTTGTTTTTCTGTAAGCTTTGTTGTCGATGATGTAAATGTCATTGTGTGGATTGAGGCCTATACAGGATCTCACAATGTCAGGTCTAGCCAAGAACTCGTATCTCCAGAGCCACGTCACGTGATCTACACTGTCCTGTGATCTTCTTCTGTAATGTACAGCCTCCCCTCCTCTTCTTAGATCCATTAGAAATTCTTCTCTTTTATCTTCACTCTCTTTCAGTATTTTGTTTGACACATTCACTGTAGAAAAAGACGAATACTGTCACAGTGTTAAATTTATTATTTCAACTAAAATTAAGTATAAATATACATGAAGGTACATCTAATCTCCGAAGAAATCGATTTAAATGATTTAATCACCATTTACTAATTAAATTCACAATATTTTTACAAGTACATCTATCTACAGTTTGTAGCAGCAATAAACAAAACATATGAAGTAAATAAAATAGTCAATATCTAAGGAATCATATCATAAAATATTTAGAGTAATGCTGACTCTGTCTTATTTATTAATATATCAATCTGCAAAATTCAGTTAATCATTTGAAACATTTTCTGAAATCTGAAAATATTTTCATTCCTTTACACTGACTTACATATCTGGTGTATGTCATCATATATAGTCGTGAACTCCATGGTGACGTGAGTCAGTATGTTCATCTGTAGACGGCGTATCAGGAAGTAATCAGTGTAAGCAGTAATCAGTAAAGGATCATAGTAAGTACCACCAGTGACACACTTCTCTCCAGGTTTTCTGATGTACATCTGTGATCTCAGATACACACTGGCTGTGTCATAACTACTGTAATAGAATGGTATAACACTGTTTTTTGATGCTATCCTATACATTGTCTCATCCTTGGTGTCCTCCGTTATCTTGTCCTGATCTTCCCAAAGGTAATCACGTGACTTCAGTCTGTCCAGAGTCTGCTGTGCTTCTTCACTTGTTACAGGATTCTCTTTACGGTACACTATCTGTCGTATCTCATTAAGCATGTCCAGCCACTCTGTGTCAGTGAAGTCAGGAGGACCGGAGTCAGAACACAGAAAACAGAATAACACCAACACCTCGTCATCACTCAGAGTGGAGAACTTAACTACAAAATTAAATGTAACGAATATATTATGAGTAACTCAATATGAAATGAAACAAGATACAAGATATTCTATTTACCAATCAAGGGCCCCGAGAGGCATTTCCACATATATAAATGCACAATTTAAACATTATTCACAATATACATTGTTTTTATATAAATAAACATATAAAAAACAGTTACATAAACAGTTATATAACATTGTATTCAGCGTTAATAATCATAGACAATACCAGTCAGGCGCGTAGCTGCCTATACGCAAATACGCAAGTGCGTACACATCATTTTAAGAAAAAAAAAGATAAGAAAAAAGAGAGAATTATTCGGAGAAAAAAATCTCAGTACCATCCAACAAATATTCTTGTTTCAAATTATTCTGTGTCATACTGTGCACGTGTCGATTTAAATTTTAAATTATTAGGCCATTCCAAGTTTTTTTTCTATGTTTAGCGTCCACCCATCTTTCAAATACATACCTACCTATTCGCAAAAAACACACAAGCAAAAATAAAACACAAGACTTTATAGTCATAAAAATGATGTCATTCAAAGGATTTGATTCCATTAATCCATTTTTCTCGTAGAAATATCTATTCTTCAGCAAAATCAAGGTATTAAATGCTTACAATATTCCAAATATTGACATATTGTAGACAAATACTTAGAGAAATTGACAGAATTCAGTGATTTCGACCAGAATAAACAATTTCAGGACTCCTGATTTTGTTTGTTTTTTCTGATATGGGGTGTTAAGTACAGGTCCACGTAAGAATCAGGCAAAATCAAATTTTCGTGATAAGTCAGTGTTTGAGAATTGACTTGAAACTTCACATGGTTATGCATCAGGACATATATATTACATATGTTCAATGATTTGGAAATATTCAGGCTTGTTCTAATTTAATAGGCAATATATTGAGAAAATATTATGAACATGAGTAGTACAAATCTGTACAATGGTATGGATATTGAAACCTTAAAAAATTAAAACAGCAAACGTTATGAGAGAAAGTGATAATGAACAACGAAACAGCTATTTAAAAATTATAATTTTAAATTTTAAAAAGTTTGGAAAATTGCGAGTTTAGCGTTTACTACCCCGATAATTACTTCCAATATTAGTGAATTTCAGTTATCGTTCTTGATTTATGACTTAATTTGTCGCTTGAGTGCGCTTCGTTGTTAAGTACGCTGATACCGAAAAAACAGAATCAAATTGATTAAACATCGAATTTGGCATTTTATTTTGGTTTAATTAATCTACTGAAAATTAAGGAATGTCTAACTTCAAACTAAACATCTTTTTCCTTGAAATCTAGCGATACAGTGTGTGTCAAATTTGATCGGGTTCAGGTTGCTCGACACTTGTCTGTTGTCATATGCGGATTTGGGCAGGATTATTATAGTTGTACAGTTTTACTGCGTCATCAAAGATGCACAAGAGTTTACAACAGACTTCAAAGAAAATTGGTCATCGCGTTACACAACGCACTTTAAACAATCGTTGCCAAACAGCAGTTTTATTGAAACTCTCAATCATAAAGTCATGTTGGCGAGGAAATGCGGACTTATTCGAGTCATGCGACACTCGATTTGAGAACAACAACATTGATTGTGATTATTTCAAGACACAATTATATATCTAACATTTATGGATTTATTTCCCGAAATCCTGCTGAAATATGGAAATTATCTTCTCACAAAAAAAGGAGTTCATGTGATGCAACATGTGCAAGTAAGTAGTTTTTTAAGCTAACAGTGAGGAAAACCCTTTTGATGTCAACCAAAAATAATAAGCAAGCTTTTTTCCATTAAGCTTTAAGTGCCTTAATTTCTGGTCTTCTTCGAAATTATTTCAAAGTTGGGTGTAATTTTTTTTTCTTCTTGGAAATCCTTCCTATGAATTAGGAGAACCCCATTTTATAAAATGGGTATAGATATTTATTTTATTTCAAACTACCAATTAAAAAAAAATATCTTGCTTAAGACTTTAAAAATGTTTTTTAGAGATAAGTAATTAAATTTTTTCATAATATTAAATTTTATGCTTTTTCAGAGTTTAAAATACTGAGTAATATGCCACTACATTTAATTTTTCAGACAAGTTCAAGTTGCAGAAGAGTTCTTTGGTCTTCTCAAACAGTCGAGGTTTTCTTCTCCTGTCCAAACTTCAAAATTTAGTGAAAAATGAGGAAACAAACTTTACGAATGAAAGAATTTTCTAAAATCACATCGAGCAGTGAATCTGATGCCTTTTGTTGTGTTTAACCATCATAAAGTGACAGTAGTGTACTAGGTAGAACTTTAGTCCTATTGCTCATTAACTTTTGTAAACAAAGGGAATAGCATACCAGTTGAGATTTAGAGTGTCGAGTACTATATGAGAAAACAACGGGAACCATCCAAAAGTAGAAGCACCACAAGTCCATATATTAAATTGATCAAGTTCAGAATTTTGAATGTGCATGTCTGCTTGAAAAGTACTGTAGTTTAAAAAGCATTTTTTTTTTTAAATCATGGGATGGAATGATGATTATAAAGAACTGATATTGTAACACCTGTTCTTCTACAAATTTTGATCTTTGTATAATGTACAATGTAATTTATAAATCATGTAAATTGTTAACATTTAATAAACATGTTAAACCTTTTTGCAAATTGGTCATTGTTGATTTCTTAAGAATAAACTTGGAAATTTTCATATTAAAACATTTAGTTTAGTATGTTGAACAACATGACATATTTGTTAAATATGCAATTAAAAATATCATATTGCTGCTCATATAACGGTACAGTAAATCAAATGTTGCAGCTGCATCATTTTCTGCAGTTGAACAAAATCCTTTACATTCCTTTCATATACATGTACTAGTATGATTTAGAAGGAGTCAAAGAACTAGTCTTAATGAATTTATAATTTTATCTATAAAAGTTGAGAGGTTTTAGGACATTGCTAGCAGAGACCAACATACTCTGACTTGTTTATACATAAAAATTATGTCTTCATGTAGCATAATGTATTCTCAGTTGTTATATATAAGTTATAGTATTTGACAAACAGTAAAAGCTGAAAAACTAAATGAAAAAAATAAAAATGCTTATATAAGAAGAATCACCCAAATAGATAGTGATTGGTCATCATGTTTACTATATGAAAAAAGCAATACAAGAAAACTGGATGCACCTGCTTAGTTTTAGCAGCTGTTTAAAATAAAAACAGAAAAAAAATCTGGAATCATCAAAGTTGGGTACTTGATATACAGAATTTCGATCCCGATCATAATTCTCTCCAAAACTATTTTAGAGAAATAAAATTAATTCCAGAGTAAACTTGGTACATTGAATAGAAAAATTCATAATAATGTGATAAATGTAATTAAGAAACCATTCAATAAAAGTTAAATTTTACACACAATGCACTTAGATTTAGGAAAAAATCTTGTCAAACTTCAAGCAATTTATCAAAATTTCTCAATAGTTTTCCTTTTCATTAAAAACTGCTAATTGATTTTTCCACACTTTTTTAACTGGAAAACTAACAATGAGCAGTTGTTCTATTTTTCCATGTGTAATAAGCTACATAATGTGTTTGCTGTTTTTAATAATATTGTTTTAAATTCACAATGGTTGTGACATCCAAAATGTCTTGACATATAATTACAATGGTTACTATGGATACGACCTAGATACCAACTCCATGACAACTAATACAAGAAGGATACAGACTCCTCTCAAAATAAAATAGGGTTAGATAATTAATGAAAAACAACAACACTTGTTACTTCTGTACTGAACTTCCTCTTTTTTGGTTGACATTTTGGCCCATAAATGCCCGAATCTATTTATAGTAACATATCACAGCCTGGATGTGCCTTTTTGGAAAAATCATGATTTATTTTAATTACTACTGTATCAAGTAATAATATAAAAAAATATTGGCCGAATATGAAATATTCGACTTATCACCGATTGCCTGATTCTTACGTGGACCTGTACTTAAAAACCAAGGCGCACGCGGACGCTAAACATAGAAAAAACTTGGAATGGCTTATGGCTGTATGATAAAATTTGAAATCTTTTATTTAATAACTGACAAATCCAAATAAATCATTCATTATTTTGTCATTGTTCTATCATACATTTATATTTGTTTTTAAAGATCTTTGAAAAATTAAATTTTAGCCACATCGTTGAATGCTATGATCTACTAGTATGATTTACAATACGATATTTTTTTGTTCATAATTAAAATTTTGCATACGTGTTTTTAAACGTTAAGAATGATTACTAGTATATGATACCAATTAATATATCGGTTAAATTTTTAGCCTCAATTATACGTACAATAAGTTTCCATGGAATATTAATTTTCGTTAAAACAATAAATATTACTATGTCTTTTATTTCCTTAACAAAAACTAAATGGCATAATTTTTGTATTTCAAGAAAATGAATGAAATATTTGGTAAAACTCCGGAGCTTCTGGGCCCTCACCAGCAGGCACGTAGTATGAGGGGAGCCTCCCCACTACTTATTCCTAAAACTTAACCTTTTACTATTGAAAAAATGTACATTGAAAGGGTGGACCTCCACTGTTTGTTGCACCATTGTTAAATCATGGTAATTTGGTAATATATTAATAAAAATTTGGTTTGTGAAAGATGGACACCCCCCCCCCCCACCCCCCTAAGAAACACACACACACACACAAACACAAGAAATAGGACTTCGAATTTTGACAATCTTCCTTTTTCGTCCTTGCTTGACAAAATTTTTAAAGTTGTAATTTTTTCCTGGCTGGCAAAAGCTATATTACGTGCCTGACCAGAGCCCTTCAACACTCGGAGGGGGGGGGGGGGCTCAAGCCCCACCCCCACCCAACTCCCTGCCGTTCTCTGCGTACACATCATTTCTATTCTGGCTACGCGCCTGCCAGTGTCAAGTGTCCAAATTATTGTCACTGATCCCAAGACAATACAAATATGTTATGCTACAACATG